TAATTTGACATTACTGTTAGACTATGATGTTACTGGATATTTTTTCTTATGATTTACTGGATCTTCTTGTTTGGATGTCACGATAATACATATGATTTCATTCGATTTTGTTTCTGTTTCAGTATCGTTGAATATTCTTGTTAGCACGATGTTATTGGGGTCAAAGATTCGCAGTACCAGTAACATGTACAAATTTGTCAGAGTAGCAAGACGATGGGAAACAACAAGAGCTAGCATTAGCCGATTAAACCTTAAAATTGAGTTAAGAACGAGAGCTGATATTTAATTAAGATTGATATTTCGAGTATTACAAGCACCCATGTGGCTCTTTAACTTTGTGTTCGACCGCCATCAAACTATTACGTAAGGTCTGAACAGACTGTTCTCTCCTTCACTAGATATACACAACTGCATCAGACTCTTAACTCAATAAAGTGAAAAAATCTAGTTTCTGAAAATGCAGAGAAGTTGGAGTAGAAAAAATTTCATGAAAATCTCTAATAAGTCAAGTGGTAACTTGTTAAAATATTAAGGACATCCTATAACTTATGTTGCTAAGCTATTTAAGATAATAAAGGTATCACTTACTTAACACTGTTAAGTTTTTATGATATTCAAGACATCTTACTTGGTAACTTGTTAAAATATTAAGGACATCCTATAACATATGTTGCTAAGCTATTTAAGATAATAAAGGTATCACTTGCTTAACACTGTTAAGTTTTTATGATATTCAAGACATCTTACTTCTAAACGACAATATGGTATTTAAGACTTCAAAGATATCCTATTATTTAACTTGAAAATCTATTTAGGACATTCAAGAATGTTATATTTCAGTGGCTCAGCAGTAAATCTAAAAAGCTTACGAAACTAGTATCCGGGTTTCAATGCCCATAGTGAGCAAAGTACAGATACTCCATTGTGTAATTTAGCGCTTAATATCAACTAAACCAAGACATTATATTATTTAATATTAATGATAATTCAATTACATTTTTGATTTATAATTGCAGAGTTATTTAATTTTCAAGACTGTTAAAAATAGAAAGAATAAAACAAATTGTCAAGTATAGATGTAATTTATTCATATAACTTGTGTAAACTGTTAATTACAAAAGAAACTTTTTTATTCCTATATATATATATATATGGCTGTTTTATTCCTTTTCTTTCTTGGTTTCATCTTTGTTATCTTATTATTCCTCAATATCAGATACTGCCAAAGAGGGTTTAGAGATCTATTTAGTATCTTATATATTACACATATTTACATCAATAGTCGAAGTATTTTTCAGCATTGGTGAGTTTCTTGTAAACTCCTGTAGTACGTAACTTATGTGTCTTGGTAACCATTATGTTCATGATTGGAATTTATTTATCTCTTATATTTCCATTATGAATTGTATAATGGTAATGTTGTATCTCGTATTATATCTAGATTAGGAATGACATAGTGAGCCTCTGCAGTTAATAATGAGATGGAGGGAATTGCCTTACTAGAACCTTTTAAGTAGATTTGTGGGATGGTACTGTGGTGTAGTCTTATAGCGGTTTTAATGTTTTACTGTATTCCATGTTCTTTCTTATGTTTCTTATAAAGTTCTTCTTTGTGTTAGCACGTGGGTTAGATTTGATCTTATTGTAATGGTCAGCTTCAACTAGAGTTTAGACCTTGATGATGTATCGATATTTACCCTAAATTACAATAGCATTATCAAAGTTTGCTGGTAGACATGTTATGATGTTCTGAGTTCCAGATGTGACGGATTTATTATTATATATTTATTTTAATATCGATGTTTGTCTAAATTTAATTTATATTTAGAAATGTGCATAACTTATACTGTTAAATATGTATTGCGAAACTCCCGTCTATTCTCTAAAGTTGTAAAAGATTCTCGAGTGTAAGAATCAACAATATATGTGTGTGCGTGAACGCTAGTATTATCGTCAGTATTGCTACGTAAAACTGAAATTTCGAGAACCTCTCCACACGCCTATAAATATAACCAACGCGATGCGCCAAAAAACAATATCTATTATTGGTTTGCTATAGTTGTGTGCCATAAACGTCGTAATCTATAACTGTGATTGTTATAACGCTTATTAATCGGGAAACTACAAATATTTGACCAGAAACGTTTATAAATTTTGAACATTACAAACCAGTTAACTTTAGTGGCTTCACATCGGACATTAGTACTTTACGAAAACATTACCTAACGTCATCGGTGGAAACTCGACCTGTAATCGGCGTGTGATCAGCGAGAATTACAATGCTAGCTAGCTTCCTATTAAGTGAATTGTATCTACATCAAATCGAAATTAACTCGCTCATCGTTACCCCGCGATAAGACATCAAGGAAGTTCCAGACTAGAAAGAAGACTTTAAATTGTTTGTAAGTTGTAAAACTATTGTATATAACTCATTGTTTGTAATAACTATTGGTAATAACTGTTATTGTAAATTGTATTATTGTTTGTGTATTAATATATGTTTGTATTAAAAAAAGAAAACTGTGTGTATCAATCTTGTTAGCATATATCATAAATTGGATACTTATCGGCATTTATTTAACTAGTGAATTTAAATTATCATTTAGCTCGGTTTCAGACTATTCTACTTCAGTTCTACTTACTGACTTTATTTTCATTCTGAGCTCTTTTTGATAGGGTAAATAATGCTTTGAAAACTGGAAATCTGTTTTGAAAAAGACTATTTTATTCTTTGTACCAGATAGAAGGTGTATATTTTCAAACACCAAATCACTGTAGCTATATCACAAGCACGTATTAAAATCACAACATATCATGCGTATGTGTATGTTTACTACCTAAACAGTATTATTGTTAACCGTGGGAGTCTAGCCGGTTTGAAATTTATTCGATAGTTTTCTGACTTGCTTTGTATAAAATTAGTTTTCATGTGAGATTTTGAACCTGATTTGGATATCGATATTAAAAAGGTATTTTGAATTCTGGAGTGTACCCAAATAAATTCATTAATGAAGTGCCAATTTCCAATACTTCAAACCGATATCTAATGGCTGTAATTCTCGTTACTTACAAGCATCTTTCTTGTACATTACTGTCTTCATCATTTGTATAACATACTAATATATATATATATATATATATATATTCACAGTTTAAGATTTTCTGTATACAAAAAAAAAACAGATTAACTTATACATATTTCAGAAGATTAAAATATTTACCTCACATTGCATTTTACTATACACATTTAACTTCTGTTATTTTTCTAACTATACTATTACATGAAAATACGTCAAATAAATATAGCTTACATGGCCTTGGCTTCTCTTATGTTATCGTGAATATTCTGTGAACAAGCGTTAACACCGAAAATGATGTCCGTTCTTATACAATAAGGCTTGACTTAATTCTCGTAAAGACTCGAAACTTCACACATTAGTAACAGGAAAAGCGCTGATTGTCAAAATATTATTACGTCAATTCTTCGTGTTCAGAATGACCTTGTAAACTAATTTCACAGTAAGATAATTTTTTCGCAGGATTAGTTTTTTTATGAAGTACTTTGCAGAAAATATGCTGCTCTTAATCACATGATACTTGCACGTACAAAATCATTTTGACTATATTTCAGCAAATTTAAATACGCTTGACGCTGTTATCACACATAACAATCGCTAAATAAAGTGAACTTTTATGTTTGCCAATAACATAGTTAGAGATGTCTCTAATTAGTATTGGATCACTATATGTGTTTTTGTTGATAGTAATAATATCACATATTACATTAACAAAAAATGTATGAGCTTTAGATTTTTCTAACACAATTTCTGACGATACAGTCTGCTCTCTGGATAATACAGGAAAGAGTGGGTTGCAGCATCCTGTGTACAGGACATTTAAGTTAACACTTTATCAATGACTAGGGCAAAACGCCTGGAATGCAAATCCTAGGATTCTTAATTAAAACCGCACGTGAGAGTTCTATAATAGTAACTGTCAAATCCCTCTATTACATCAGACAAGAGTAGCCCAGATAACCTATCCATAGCTATACGCAAAATTCCGAATAATAAAACTTCAGAATGGACGTAAAATATATTGTTTGATTTGCCGCAATGTAAGACGTTATTCTTCCTCAATCGATGGTTTCTGTCTTAAGGAGAAATAATTGGCGACGAGCAAGTAAAATATAATAAAACCTCATTCTGCAGTGCGACAGTTATTTAAAATTCCAACAAAGTTGTTGTTGTGTTTTGAATTTCGCGCAAAGCTACACGAGGGCTATCTGCGCTAGCCGTCCCTAATTTAGCAGTGAAAGACCAGAGGAAAGGCAGCTAGTCATCACCACCCACTGCCAACTGTTGGGCGATTGACCGTCGCATTATAATGTCCCTACAGCTAAAAGGGCGAGCATGTTTGGTGAGATGAGTATTCAAACCCGCGACCCTCAGAGTGCGAGTCGAGTTTCCTAACCACCTGGCCATGCAGGGCGAAAACTGGAAAAGGAACTGTCCTTGAATAATCACAGTTTTTCACACTTACCATCTCTGTATTCCCGACTCCATGTTTTAAAAGGCCCTATACAAATATATTATATGTACATATTAAACAGGTGTACCTTTGTGAATTTTGAGGCTGACTCTAAACAAAAACCAAAAAAAAACAAAAACTCCATTCTTTCGTAGTCACGTGGTAAGTCATATCATAGTAACATTACTTTTCTTTGAAGTATTGCATTAAGAATTAATGTCACGTGACCCAAACTACCCATTAGTAATATCGCCATAGTTTCATTGCCATTATTTAAGAAAATGTTTAAAAAGATTACTTACCTAGATTGATTGTCAAACATTCAAGTAGACCACTTTCAAATTAAGTAACCATGGAAACGCGGTGGGCTATTCATACGGCATACTTGTCTTCGCTTTCACTTAACAACAATATTCGTATTATTTTCATTATGTTACTTATTATTCTGCTATTTATTTGCTTTTACAAAGAGTATAAAAGATGGAACTGGAAACATAGGTGTGGATGGGAGCTGCCAGGAAGTACAGCCCAACCTATTCGAATCCTTCAGGTCTACCTTCTTCCTGTGTTGAGACGCAGGTCCAGACCAGTTTCAGTCTATTCAGGTGAGATAATAGGATTAAAATTTGAAAATTTTGTTTCATGCTCACGTGTTTACCTTCCAAATGATCTTTCAGTTCGACATAAATACATCGACATCTTAATAGTGTGTTCTGTCTATAAAACACAGTATCATACATCTGGAGCGTCAATATAAATACAAGGTTTTCTAACTACGGGTGTGTGTATGTGTTTTCTCATAGCAGAGCCACTTCGGGCTATCTGCTGTGTCCACCGAGAGGAACTGAACTCCTGATTTTAGGGTTATAAATCCGTAGACTCACCGCTGTTCCACCGGAGGGACCCTAATTACGGGTAGTAGAGCATAAATACACGTTTTTTCTATACGGCTAGTTGAGGGTCTTATAAGGAATATTGTTCCCCTTATTTCAGTTTTTATACTAGATAAAGATAAAAGTAAAGATAAAATTTGCATTTATTTTTTTTCTTATATAATTCAAGTTTTTTTTAATACTTTACGTAATTTTGATGCATACAGCAAAATATTTTCATGAAGAATATTACCGAAGTTTTCAAAAGTATATGTGAAAGCCGCTGAAGGTGAAAGTTTCCCACATTTATGGCTGAATTCATGCCACAAATATGTAAACAAAATGGGCAAACTATAAAATATTCAAGTTAAAAAATTCACATCTTCACTTGAAACTTCACATATTTTCACTATTTTAACATAGTTTCAGGGAATTGAAATGTGTAAATTACATCAGTAGAACGCTTCGAAACTGGTATCTCACATACAATATTGTTCACTATGACGATTAAATCGCATTAAAGAAAAATATTATCACGTTATAAAGAATGTATAGTTATATTTACTCTTTTGATAACAGATATAAATGGTATAGGTTATGTCTGTTTATTGCTTCAATTAAGACAAATAAAAATTATTTAGTTTTAGGAATATTTGGCCTGCTGTTATATAAGTGTAATTTTTGACTAAAGTCAAAATTAGATGGATGCTGATTGTACTTCATAGCAAGTATGTATGATTTTTCTTATGTGTTGCCATAACATTTTAAACTTCTTTGTTTAAGCAACTTTTACACAGTCTTATCATTTCAATTATCAAACCAAGTGTTATTCTAAGTAATAATAGTGCATTAAAGGGTAACAGAAGTTTTCATCAGTCCAAACCTCATTTTAACTCATATTGATACCTTATAAACAGAAAAGGTGGAAGCACTTACTTCCTGATCAGACCATCAGATACGTCTGTTTATTAAGTTTTTATATATTTTGCTTAAGTTGCAAATTTCATCTGGAAGACAGCAATAAATTGGAATTACAGAATGTTATTCTGATGATAATATCAGCTTTACTGGAGAAAGTTGTTCTTCAAAACTAACCATAAATGATATTTTTTTCTGTTTTTATTATATTCTATTACACTTTTCACGATGAACTTTATACGCTTACACTAAACAGTTGTACATAATGAAAAGTCACTAAATAATTATACAAAGTCAAAAGTCACCAAACAGTTATACTGAGTCAAACGGAACCCATTTAGGAAGAGAATTAAACTATCCAATATGTTTTTAAAGTCTGGCAGATATGCCAGTTTGGAAACACCATATATCTGTATGTTATTTTCACCCTTCCTTAGAATAGATCTTCCTTCATTATTTTCTTTCTTCTATATTTAATTATACATACAGGTGGCATAATTCTGTTCACAGATACTGACCTTAGCAACCTCTGGTAGGATCGCTAAAATATCTTCATTAGAACACTCATGTATCTAGGTTTCCGATTAAAAGTGGCGTTATCTTGCTAAATCTTAAAGAGTGAATGCCTCAGAATAAACTAATATCAATGGATTTTATAATATAGTATCATAATTATGCTTAAATCTCCAATTTTGGTCTTTATAAGACTCCAGTCGACAACATTGATTTGTAGTGTTATAAATGAGATACAGTGAGGGCTGTATAAATTTCAGTTATCTTTGCATGCTAACTGTTTTGTTTTTATGTGGGTCATTTAATTAATGTCTACAATTTATTTTTCTTAGATGGAAAATTATGAACCATTAAGGCTAATATAATCTTTAGACTTTAAAAAAACTTAACATCAAAGTGCACGCGCAAAAGTAATTACCTAAGATTGCATCATCTGAAACCGTGAATGTCTATAGTTCCTTATGTCAAATTGCCTTGATCAATACAATGTGTTTAATTCAAGTAGTTGAAGACAAATAATTCACTCTAATTGAAGAAGAAAAAAAGGAAACCAGTTCAATATCAATCATCTTAAGACTGCACTACCTAGAGTCAAAATTTCCACCTTAAGATGTCTAAACAAATATTTCAAATCTGATTGAAAAAATTAGTCCTTATACGTTTTAGTCACACTATACAGAACACGTGAAATGTGTCGTTGTGGAAACAACTACTGCCTCTTCATCTGCATTCCTTTCGTATTGTTGGTAGAGCAAAATAAATATATATACTAGCATTGGTAACCGGCAATATCTGATTCAAAAAGTAATGCTATTTTTAGTCATAAAACACAAACTGTTCGTCCGATGCAAAGGTATCCTTGCTACGCGCAACAATAAACGTTACTTTCGTTTGACATCGGCTTCGCATAATTTACTTCCGACTTCCTTGCTCAGTTAAGCCCTCATTCGGAAAAATTTAAAGGGCTGCCAAACTCGAACCGCTTCTCTAAATACTTATATATTTAAACACGATCTCTGGGAAGAGTGGAGGTTGAGTTCGAAATTCAACTCCTCACAACATCAAACAAACAGACTGACAACTGTGTTTAAATTTATGCTTCTATATGGGACCAATATCAAAGATCAACGTCAAGAGTTTTAACAAGACGCACAAAATGCAGACAGACCGTGTTTGTGGTTTTATATTAATTGTGCAAAACATGGTTTTCTAAAAATGTATTTTGAAACAGGTTCCTTTGATCTCTTTAACGTTTTACTCGTTATTTTTTAGCTCTATCACAAATGTGATTTTTACATAAAAACGAAATAAAAGTAATAACGGTTAGGGGTAGCAGTCGACATAAAGTTAAATTTGCTGTTCACTGGAGCTTAACTGGACTATGACATTTACTTAATTGATAAAAAGTTCTATTAAAATAAGTCATAATAGAAAATCACCCCTGGAATGACTGGATGAATGTATTAGAAGCACATTTTCTTATTGTTGTTGTTGAAGATTTCGCACAAAACTACTCGAGAAGTGAGATAAAGGAAAGGCAGTTAGTCAACATCACCAACTCATGGGCTACTCTAATCGAATCACTCTTATAACGCACCCATAGCCCTAAAGTATAGTGCAAATTTTTTTTGTTTAACTTAATAGGGGGGGGTGAAACACTGACCTACTCGAGGTCGTCCCTAATTTTAAAGGGGGATAAAGGAAAAGCAGCTAGTCAACATCACCAACTCATGGACTACACTAATCGAGTCTAATCACTCTTATAGCACATTCATAGTGGACGTGCATTGTCCTGGAGAAGAAGAAGAACACCTTCCCGATTGACGAGTGAAGGGCGTTTCTGATGAAGGGCTTGATTTAAATGTTCCATTTGCTGACTATAGATATCTGCATGGACAATTTGCTGTCGATTGAGGAGTTCGAAATGAATTACTCCTTTGATGTTCCACCAAATGCAAAGCATAACTTTCTGTGGATGGAGTCCAGGTTTTGGGGTCGGAAGTGGGTTTTGTCTTGGACTGAGCCATTGTTTTTTGGCGTTTAATATTCGCATAGAGAATCCGTTTTTCATCATCGGTGACAATTCTGTCCAAAAAATGATTCACACACATTA